GAGGGAGAGAGAGAGAGAAACATTCACGTGAGAGAGAGAGAGAAACATTCACTTGAGAGAGATACATGGAGTGGTTGCCACGCACAGGACCCCAACCGGGGCCAGGGACAAACTACAACTGAGGTACGTGCCCTTAGCGGAAACCGAACCCGGGACTCTCCAGTCCAGGGGCCGATGCTCTAACTACTGAGCAAAAACTTGCCAGGGCTTGTTATTATATTTCTGTTAGCAAGTAGAGATTGATGACTTGAGCATAAATTGAAAACTTCATAAATGGGTTGGATCCACAAATGCTTCACAGGCTAGTGTTGAAAAACTGCAATCTCATACTTACCATTAAGGATGCTGTCCTGAGTGAAAAGATAGCTGGGGGAATTTAAGCCTCCACCCTTCCCCCACCTTTCACTAAGGTTATTCAAATTCTTATGAAATGTTTTTGTCCCTTTTAAAAAGGGCAAAAATGTGGTAATACTCAAACCTTTGTAAAATACTTTATTTACATTAGGTACTTTAAGCATCACTCATAGAAACTATATTTCAAAAGTAAAATGTTGCCCATCCAGTGTTGCTCAGTGGGTTGAGCATCATCCCATGGACTGAGAGGTCTCAGATCAACTCCTTATCAGGGCACATGCCCAGTTGCAGGCTTGATCCCCAGTAGAGGGTTTTGATGTTTCTCTCTCACATCCAATGTTTCTATCTTTCTTTCTCTCCCTTCCTCTCTCTAAAAAATCTATAAGGACATATTATTTTTTTAAAAGATTAAAATGTTTATGCATTAATTATCAACTGTCTGTTAACATTATGTATTATTACTGTTGTTATTGTTAGCTTCCTTCATTCAAAAGAAGCTATTAAATTTAACATGATTACAGTACTATCATTGTTTTACATAAGCTATACCTTGTGAGTTAAAGTGTTCTCCATCCCAAAACTACAGAGATATTTTTCAACATTTCTTTTAGTTCAATGTAATTTTGTCTTTTAATTTTAGGTCTCAGAACACATTTACAGTCCGGTTGTATACAAAGTGTAATGCTGTAGTCTAGCTTCATCTATCATCTCAAGTGAGCCATTTCCCCAATATCAATTACTAAAAATCCAGGGTCTTCCCATTATGTTATAGGCGAATTTATCATATATCAAGATCCAGTATATACATGGGTTGTTCTCAAAGCAATCTGTTGCCCAACTGTCTATTTTCACAATGGCATCGTAAGAGTTTTGTAGTTGTCATACCAGATGGTACATCAACTCCCATCTCATTATTCTTCCTTTGTAAAGATGACTTAGCTATTTATAAAATATTATCTTTATGTAGTTTTTAGAACACAATGATTAGTTTCCAGAATTACATGCCAAATTTTTGGTATAGCTTTCAATGTGTGAACTAAGAAGAAAAAGTGGTGTTTTGGCCAGATTAAGCATAATATCTAAATACATGGATTATATTTAATGTATTCAGAACATCTATTATTTTTCCTTTTTAATTAAAGTTAATAGTATATTAGGTTTTTATGGAGATCTTGAACATTTTTTCAAGTTAATTGTAAGATTTTGCACATCTTTTGCTATGATAGCAGGCAATGATTAATAGTTTGCAGATATTGTGACTGATACAGAGAAACATTTAATTTTATATGAACAACTTGTATTGGAAAATTTTGCTAAGCTCCATTTTAGTATTAATTATGAGATAATATCAAAAAATCATAAAGAAATTAATTGATGATTTTAACTGCAAAAATACCAAAAATTTCTGAAATTCAAAGAAAATTTGCAATAAACAAAGAAAGAAACACAAAGTCGGGAATAACACAGTTATTTCACACAACAAAGGAAAATTATTATAGTAAGCAAAAAATTCCTGAAAATCATTGTTCATTAAACAAATATTTATTGAGTTCTACTGCATACATCACTGCGACTGTAATCTTTCCATCGCATGTTTTCAAGGGACTTCTACTTGTGATATGTATTAGTAATTTACTTTTTTTAATTGCTGAATAATTTTTCATGGTGTGAATATAACAAATTTTTTTTTACCTATTCATCATCAGTTGATAAACATTTAGGTCGTTTTGATTTTTTGATTATTATAAATAAAACTACAAACCTTAATGTAGAGTTTTTATGTGGACATATAATTTTATTTTTTCTTGAGTACAGACAAAATAATAGTATTTCTAAATCATCTGAAAAGTCTATAATTCATTTTTTGAGGAACAGATAGACATTTTTTTAAAAACACCTGCATGCACCATTTTACATTTCACCAGCAGTTTATAAGGGTTCCAATGTCTACTAATTCTCACACATGCCAACATTTATTCATCTTTCTTTTGATAATATATTGATACTAGTAGATATAAAGTAATTTCTCATTATTTTCATTCATATTTTTGTTTTTTTGTCATTAAATGCAATATTTGTTTTTATCTCTCTCTCTTGTTTTATTTAGATATTCTTTATCAAGTTGAGGATTTCCATTTTATTCTTCATTTGCTGACTATTTTTATCATGAAAGGGTGTTGGATTTTGTCAAAGGCCTTTTTTACCCATGCATCTATTGAAATTATCATGTGTTTTCTTTTTCATCCCCTTTATTCCATTAATAAGGTATGTTACATTTATTGATTTCAGGATGTTAAACAAACCATAAATTCCTGTGATAATTCCCACACAGTCATGGGATTTTAACCCTTTTTTTTAACATACTGGATTTGTTCTGCCATAATATATTAAAGTTTTTTGTGTTCAGACTAATGAGATATATTTGTCTATAGTTTTCTTGTGATATTTTTGGCTTTGTTATTGTTGTGGCACTGGCCTCATAGAATAAGTTGAGAAATGTTCCCTCCTCATTTATTTTGGAAGAGTTTGTGAATAGTTTCTATTAATTCTGCTTTACATGTTTGCTAGTATTTTTCAGTAATGCCATTTAGGCCTAGACATATCTTAGTGTGAATATTTATTTATTTGTTTGTTTATTAAATACTAATTTAATAGATTTACTTATAATAGATCTATTCAGATTTTCTATTTCTTCTTGAATCAATTTAAGTCATTTGTATTTTTCTAAGTATGTCTCCATTTCATCATAGTTACCTAGTTATTTGGATATACAGTGGTCTCTGGTGTTTTGTAATAATCCATTTTTCTTCTGTAATTTCAGTACAGTCAACCCTCATTTATCACGGTTAATCGGTTCCAGACTCTACTGGGATAAATTGATTTCCGCGAAGTAGGATTCTTTATTTACACACAGTCGTCCCTTGGCCGCTTCTCGCTTCGACTTTCGAGCTTCACTCTTTCGGAGGAAGCCGCTCAAGTCCAAGCCGAAGTGGTGAGGGACAACTGTAATGATGTCCTCTCTCGCTCCATATTTAGTCATTTGATTTTTCTCTGTTTTCCTTACTATAGGTAAGGTCTATCATTTTGCTAATTCTTCCAAAGGACAGATTTTTGGTTTGGTCAATATTCTCTATTGTTTATACTCTAGTTAATTTCACTCTACAGTTTATGAGTTCCTTTCTTTGGCTGACTTTCGTTTAAATCTCCTACCTTTCCAATTGTGTTAAGGTGGAAATTTAGAATATGGACTGAGATCTTCCTTGTTTTTTAACATAAGCATTTATAGATATAATGTTTATTCTAAGCACTATATCACTTACATCCCATGAATTTTGGCATGTTGTATCTTTATTTTAATTAGTCTCAAATGCTTTTCTACCTTCCTTTGGGATTTATTTATTTTTTTATTAATTGATTTATGTAAATTATGTTATTCAATGTATACATTATTTGTGGATTTACCAAATAGCTTTATTGTTTTTTATTTTAATTTCATTCTGCTGTGGTCAGAAAACATACTTTTTAAAAAATTGTATTGATGCTTTTTAAGTATATGGACTAGATTGGAACATGTCCCCTGTGTATTTGAGAAAAATGTTGCTCTGATGTTGTTGAGTGAAGTGTTCTATAGCTATCTGCTATTTCTAGTAAATTTATAGTGTTATTCAAATGTTCTATATATTTGTTCATGTTTTGCCAAGTGTTCTATCCATTGCTGTAAGTGGAGTACTGGGGTCTCCAACACTAGTCGTTAAATTGGTTATTTTCCCCTTAAATTCTAATGGTTTTTGTTTCATCTATTTTGAGTCTCTGTTGTTTGACATACATGTTTATAATTGCTATATCTTCTGATGAATTTTTTTGTTCTCATTATATTAGGAAATTTATTTTCTCTAGCAACTATTTTTTTTCTTTTAAAGTCTATTTTGTTTGATATTAATATAGATAGTCCAGCTTCCAATGGTTGCTATTTGAATGATATATCTTTTCTCAATCTTGTACTTTTAACCTAATTGTACATTTAAATGGAAAATGTGTCTCCTGTAGATAGTGTATACTTGTGAATGTCCAGAAATTATCTGGGCTGAAATTTCTGCCTTTTGATTGAATTGTCCATCCATTTAATTTTAATGTTATTATTGATATAGTTGGGTTTATGTCTGCCTTTTTTTTTTTTGGTTTGCTTTATGACTCATGTCTTTTTCATACCTCTGTTCTTCTGAGAATACCTCCCTTTGTAAAAAGTAAATAGTTTTCTAGGGCAACATTTTAATACCTATAATGCCATTTTCCCTGTATTATTTAAGTTATTTTCTTAGTAGTTGCTCTGGGGCTACCATATACATCTTCATGTATGAGAATCTACCACAGATTTACTTCAACACAGATAATAAATTAAATTCTAGTGTGATATATAAAAATTATTTTTATATATGTTTGTATTATTTTTTCCTATTTTGTGCTATAGTATTATATATAACACAATATACTTTGTAACTATATATGTATATGTCTGATATGTAAATCCCAATATATTAAAAAATGATTATTATTAAATATGATAAAATAGTTCAATTATTGCTTCTTAGTACAATGATCATTTTTATAAGTTGAAGATACTCTTTGCAGAAATAATACATAAATACCTTGATACATTAAATTCATCTTCATAAATAGCTTCAAGTTGACACCCACTTTGTTGATAGTCAGTTGTATTTTCCAGATATGTTTTTCCAGGCCTTCCAGGAATACACAGACAAAAATATTCCTTACTACCTTCTTTAGTCAAACAACAGGATCCATTTGCACACATCTTTAAAAAATGAGAAATAAGAATATTTTAAATATTCATTGCTCACTACAATATTACAATTATTCCAAAGTTTGAATTTCATGCTTTCCATTATCTATTAAATTCTTGTGTACCGTTATCAAAGGTAAAATAAATTCAGTTTTGATTTATGTCAAATTCATGGTCAACAGTCATATTCAGTTTACACTCAAATTATAAAACATGTCAATTATAAAAATCTAAATATATATTCATAATACAATTATTTTAAAAATATTTTAAAATTTTATTTTAATCATCTTGAAACCAAGTAGCAGTGATCTGGTCACAACCCACAGTTGAGAACCACTGGTCTAGGGGAAGATATATGCCTTGCTAGCTTCTGATTGGTCCGTTCAAGGAATTCTGACTTAGCAACATCCATACATTTTAAGGCTTGTGTTTGCAGTCGGACTGGGTTCAGCCCTAGGTCATCTAGCTCTAAATTCATATTACCTTTCTGGAAAAAGCATATGTGGGCACCATTGATTTTAAAAAGCTCGCCCTATCAGGTGAATTGGGGCAGATTTGATTATCAAAGATAGATATTATCCCATAACATTTGCTGTTTGTAAGTGGACAGGTTGTGATTTAAAAACAGACATTGATTAGCTACTCCTGACATTTACATAGATGCTTTACTCCCAGGGAGGGAACAACTTAGTTGTGTATGGTTAAGAACAAATAAACTAGCCCCAGGTATCTATAGGGGCCTTAGGGTCTTCCCTTTTTATGGCAATTTCAACTTCTCCCAGACTATTAGTGAGGAAGAGGGGAAACACCCTTGGGGCAACATCCTATGCTTGATTTTGGTTTCTCCCCCAAATCCAACCTTGGTTTCTATAATCTTTTCTCAGGTAACCTTGCTCTCTGCAACAGAAACACACTCTATAATTTTGCAGCAGAACTCATACAATAATCCTGTTGCCTTTCTCCCAGAAACTAGTAGTAGGTATATTAATTGGAATAGGTCAGATTCACCAGCACTATATTCTTTAACAGTAAGTAAAATTTATTTCCAAACCCAGAAAAATGAACTATACAATCAATGGCTGTTCCCCTCTTGCCTGACATGAGCCTTTCTGGGAATTTTTGTTATGAAATTCACTTGTGCTCCTTTCAGGAGGTTCTAATTTGCATTTGTATAAATGAGGGCTAGAAGTCTGACCTTGGAGGCACAATTTCCCATGTTGGTTTTCATTTTATTTTGAGATCTGTAGAGTCTGAATAAACCTCCAGATATACTGTGCACTGGGCTCTGCTTGTGTGCTTAGCTCCAAGTCCTCGAAAACTTCCTTACCTGTCTCAGCCTTCCCTTCCCATGGTCCCATTTCTCACTGCCTAACCTGTCGCTATCTCCTCAATCTTTCTATAGAAATTGCTTAAATGTTTAATGGTATGGTAGAAATAGCAATATAGTCAGACACAAATCCATGGAAAACCTGTATGCAGTATCACTAAGAAGTTTTTACTTTTTGAGTGAATCATTTGTATTCACCTGTAAACTGAGTGTAACATTTTATTGCATCCCTTATAAAAATTTATTAAACAAAAAATTAACACATATTTTCCATAAAGTCATAATTTACTTTTATAATTTTTTTAAAAAAATGATTTTACCTTTAACAAAAGTATCATTTAAACTATTATGCAGATCTTCTATAGATATGCCCAGGGGATTTACCCCATAGAATTAAGTAAAATTAGTCACCAGAAGAAAAGAGCACCTCTTGTGGAAATCTTAAACACAGGCATATATTTTCCTAGCCTTGAGAAGTGAAATAAAAAACATCTATAACCCTGACCGGGTTGGCTCAGTGGTTAGAGTGACGGCCTGTGGTCCAGAGAGACACAGGTTCAGTTCCCGCTAAGGGCACGTACCTTGGTTGCAGTTTGTCCGTGGCCCTGGTTGGTCGTGTGAGTAGCAGCCACTCGGTGTGTCCCTTTCACCTCGATGTTTCTCTCTCTCTCTCTCTTCCTCTCTCTCCCTCCCACTCTATCTGAACAAAAAATGGAAAAATGTCCTCAGGTGAGCATAAAGTGAAAAAAAACCTATAAAACTTGGATAACTGTTTTTTTCTCTCTCTTGATACTTTTATGTTTTCTTTTTGGTTTATTTGTATTAAATCATTTAGTTTTCATCAGTGGCAACAATAATTAGAAATTTGGTTTTGTGATCTGATTCGTGGTGATAGAGTAAGGATTTATAGAGCGTTATTTAGCCTCTGTTGGGTAAGAGTCAACTGAGAATCTGTTCTTCCATTTCCCTATTTGGTGATCAAGTCAATTAAGAATTTCAAGTACATTAAGGAGATCAGTTCTTTGACATGGGCAGATAAATTCTTTTTTCAAATGTTATTTATTATACTCTTAACTGGTGGCTTAAATATTATAATTGAATCCATACACTTTCTATAATCTGTATCTGTATGTCTATGTGTTTGTATTTCAGAAAATTCTTTATCCCTCAATGTTCTATTATGTAATCATTTCCTACATGTGGAGGGTTTGTGTTGTAGCTTCTTAAATTAAAGGAGCAATGATATAATAGATCTACAAAGTGAAGTAAGCACCTACATAGAAAGCAACAAATATCTGCATTTTATGTCACTTTTATTATTCTCTGTCCATGTATATATAAAAATATGTATAAATGCATATTGTTATATTTGTTTTATAAAATTTGTGGTTGTATTGTACTTTTCCCCAATTACTTTAGTGTACATATTTTTATCAAAATAATATTATTTTACAGTACAGTAAAATTATCAAAGTTGGGAAATTGACTTTGATATAATACTATATTTCATAACCAATACAATTTATTTAATTTTTTCCAATTATTCAAATATACTATGTTAAAAAGAATCCAATATATGCATTCTCTACCTTCTACCTTTAACATAACTAGAAAATACAAAACATCAAAACTTCAAATTAACCATGATATATGTAGAGACCTGTATTCATAGAAAAGCATTAGAGTAAAAATTGTACCAGACAAAGTTAAAACGTCAGGAAAGACTATTCAAGATTATTTCAGTAGAGGACAGAGATGACTCTCAACTCTGCTAAAACAAAAGACAGGAGGGTTTGTAAGTGCTGTCATGAGCTAGAAGAGAAGTATTGGAAGAAATTATGAAGAGTTTGATCAATTAGATGTGTAAGGTATGTTGAATTATTTCTTACTTTGCAAAGATTGTGCTCTGAAAACAGGCCTTCTGAGTTTGCTATCTGGAGCCCACTAAATTAGGCTCCTACTGTCACAGACACTAGGAGACAGGGGTGCTATCTCCTTCAATATTTACATTTCAAAGAGATGGTTCACAGGTCCTTGAGCAAGATAGTTCCTGGGTCTTAAAACCTTAAAACTGACAAGAGTCTGAGAGATGATTTGCATGTATTTCAAAAAGTCAGAGAAAGAATTTACAATTGTACATTTTCTAGAGAAAATGCTCTAAGAGAAAGGAGGTTATGGGTCTATAGTAAAAAAGAAACTTATCTAAAGGTTATTCATGGCAAGGGAAACATTAAGAATGTCTTCATCATATTCTTAGCTGAATAAAAATATAGTCATGTGCCACTTAAGGGCAGAAATATGTTTTGAGAAATGGACCATTAGGCGATTTGCTCATTGTGTGAACATAATAGAGTGCTATTACACAAACCTAGATGGTATATCTGATACTGTTACAATTAGCTAGTTATTAGTAATAGGAAAGGAGCAAAGGGAAGGCCAGACATTATAGGCATGTTCGCTGCAAAACACTGGGGGAGGCATCCAACAAAGGGAAGGTACACATGTCCAGTAAAGTTAGAATGACATAGGGGAGGTACTTGCCTGTCATTCACACCTGGGGACCTAGAGATAGTTGGCCAGAGTGGGCATGACCACTGGATGCACACTCATATTTGGGATATATAATCCCCTGAACAAAGAAGTTCACCCTTTGGGTTCCTCTTGGCACATGCTTGGTTCATGGCTCACACTTGGCTTTCTGGCATTCTCCCATGTGGTCCACAGCCATGTGGACCCCAAACACAGTGGACTAATAAACTGCAGCTAGCCTGATGCTGATCTAGACCCTGCTTCAACAGGAAACAAAAACTTTGGACACTGACTCTGATTTTAGCTCTACTGAAAGCCCAGCTGTACTTCATGTATGACTGGACAAGGAAAATGGGACTTTGGAAACCCAGGGGTGTAGTTTCACACAGAAATAAAGCTTTCTACTATATGCATCCTTCTGTGGGAGTCTCAGAAAATTCATTTTTGTGGGATATTACAAGGGTCCCACTCCCTCTAGCAATGAGGGAAGATGAGGCACATTTTTCTTGCCTACTACTAACTTAGGCTATAGGGGAGGAAAAATAATTTTCCTGCCCCCTTTTTGATTCTTGGCTGAGACATCTCTGGGATAAAAGACAGATTAACAGAATAAAAATAAACAGAAGATTAATAACATGTACAACTCCTATATATATGGAAGAGGCCCAGGAAAACAGTAATTTACTAAAAGCCACCATCTTAAATATTTTTCACTATTGATCTTTTTTTTTTTTTTTTTTTTTTTTTTTTTTTTAGAGATAGACAGAAAGGGAGAGAGGGATAGAAACATCGAAACATCAGTGAGAGAGAACATTAATTGGCTGCCTCCTGCATGCCCCCCACTGTGGATTTGGCTCTGACTGGGAATCAAACTGGTTACCTCTAGTGCATGGGTTGATGCTCAACCACTGAACCACACTGGCCAGGCTAAAGCCACCATCTTAAATGCCATTTTTAGTTTAAATGCAAAAGAAGATGTGAGGGTGGGGGAGTCAGTTAGGAGGTTGCCAGGAAAAGTACAATAAACAAGGGGAAGGCTGCGATGCAAATTTAAATCCTTGTCTTCCACATTGATAATACTTTTAGAGATAAGGTCATCCCCTTCTTCCTGGTACTGCAAGGGAAACACAACTGTAGATTTCCTTTACAAATG